AGTAGTAAATGTGCGCAATGTTTTGAAAATCTACACGCATTTGACATGGTATGCTCATTTGACGCCATCCTAGACAACTAATAATAGTTGCTTAGATTAAGAAGTGGTAAAGAATAGGAACGTGATCGCGTACCTCCACACCAAACGCTTGAGGTGAACTCTGCATACTAACAGGATAACACACTGACACCAATAAACCATGAACAAATACCATATTTTTACGGATTGGAAACAGATAAGGCATAACTCCATGAACACAAAGAATCTAGCCACTTATCCAAGTCAACATGCCAGTTCCTCCGCGAGTATAAACGATAATTCTTGCTATATTCTCCTCGGCTTCTGTTCTTTTGGGGGAATAGTCAAACTTGCCATGAAAAGTCAGTGTCCAATACATGGACCGAATTCCGATGAAGAAAACTATGATCCAGTAACAGTTCATGAATTTTGGAAGAAATGTAAAGAGAAGGGGCAACATTTAACTCAGTGTATTGTGCAAAAACCCTTCTACATGGAAATTCCACTACAGAAAATTAGTCCATAACCAAGATCATCACCTAGAATACCACTGGTGATGGTAAAAGGGGCTGTATGGCACAAGCACTATTCCTTCTATCATTGACATAGATTAAAAGCACCCCATCCCAGTCTTACTTAAAGGTGTATTTAGTTGATGTGATATCATGAGCACATTTTTCTTTACTATTTTAATCGAGAAATCTAACATTAGTTATATTTCCAACAATATTGAAGTGGTATTTTATTTTTAAAAAAAAAATATCATAATTTTCCTTTTCAAACGCCCCCCCCCCTTTACTGGCGGTAAGACTGCGGGCTCCCACCGCCAAAGAACGGGTTTCGATACTCGTGATGGTCACAGCACAGATAAACCATTGTGTAACTTAGTAACAAACAAACAATCCTTTTAAAACAGTAAGCCTGAATATCTGTGCTGCTTTGTTGTTAAAGACAAGCTCAATTACAGTTTTAAAAATTAATTATATCATCTTTATGTAATGAATATGTTATCATTTGAATTATGTTTATTTCTTACATTTTGTTATTTTCTTCAATGTCTTTTAGCTGACAAATACCCTTATTAGAGTGCAGTGTATTTCATTAGCTTCAGAAAATAACATTTTTCATGTATATCATTATTTCTTTGCTTTACAGCTCTTATAAAATTAACTCTTGGTTTAAAAATAGCCCCAGAATAATTCATTTCTATTGAAAGTGCACTAATGTGTCACACCAACCAAACTATGTATAATCAGCTGGAATAACGTATTTTACATATAACACATTCTTCCTGAAGCCATCATAAAGGTATTAGCAAATAGTAATATGAATACTCCTAGTCTTTCAGATATTATTTCTGGAAAAAAGAGGCATATTTTGTGACGCTACATAAGAGTTACCCACTTATTTATTTTAACAAAACCAAGGTGATGCAATACATAGATACGTTTTAAAACAAAAAGGATAAACATCTATGGATGATATTATTTTTCTTATACTGTAAAACTGCACCTTCTATTTCTCTTTTTATTTTATTTGTCTACAATGATATAGAAATAATCACCTGAAAATTGCTTTACGTAGACATTCTGTCCGAGATATTCACGTGAAAGTGGCTTCACGTAGACAACATTTTTACCATACTACTTGTCTTACTTTTCACTATTGCATTCTTCTATTTCTCTTCTGTCATTCTACTAAGGATGATAAACAGAATTGGAAAGAATTTCCCCATGCTGGTGGTGTACTTCTTATTGTTCTTCGGAACATAAGGAGAAGATGTTGGCACAGAGTACATCAGCAACCCTTGGTCACCTAAATGGACGTTCCACTTCCTCCAGTTTTAATATAGACATCTATTTTAATATTGTAGAAACACTGCGCCACCTCTCATGGAAACTAAGTGATTATTAAGCATACATATATATAAAGTGTTTAATGATAAATTGCACCAGGTCACACACACTATATCGACAATCGATCAAGATCCCAAATAGTTTAAACTCAGCTTCTCAGATTCGTTTTAATTTCTCTTCCTGTGTTTTTATATGAATTCTTTTGATTCTCCGAATTCTCCAGTATTCTCTGATTCACATTTTTCTTCCCGTTGTTTATTGCCGTTTTCCAAACTTATTTCAATTCAACTTTTTTTTTTTTAATTATTAGATTTCTATATAAGAATTGGCCCGGCATAGCCAGGTGGTTAGGGCGCTCGACTCGCAATCTGCATGTCACGGGTTCAAATCCCCGTCACACCAAACATGCTTGCCCTTTCAGCCGTGTGGGGCGTTATAAGTGACGGTCAATCCCCCTATTCGTTGGTAAAAGAGTAGCCCAAGAGTTGGCGGTGGGTGGTGATGACTAGCTGCTTTCCCTCTAGTCTTGCACTGCTAAATTAGGGACGGCTAGCGCAGATAGGCCTCGTGTAGCTTAATAACAAACAAAGAAACATTGTGAATAATAAACATTCACACACATCTGTGTTTTTCAAAAGAAGTTTTTGAAAGAATATTCATAGACTATTCATAGCTTCAGGACTATAGAGCAAAACTATAGGGCGAAAAATTGGACAAAATATTTTTGAATCAAATCTAAAAACTAATACCCCCTTAGTATGCATTCTTTTCTCTTGGAGCTATGGTGGTCGCACACACACACAAACAGGCTTTTATTATTATAGACTACTGTTATATTAACACAACTTTCCAAAGTAATAAAAAAACATTTTGTCTACTATATATATAGAAAAGCCAGTGCGTTTTGGTAACACTACATTCCAATAATGGCTTTTATGTCATGTCGCTTAGCAACAAAAGTATATGAAAGTATAAAATGAAATGTATAAACAACAAAACTGGAAAAATAATTTTTAATTCTTAATTCTGAACTTTCCAATTCATGAGCGACATCCTACAATAGTTCATCTCAGTATGCATCTTGAGAATGGTCAAAGCGTGTACTTCATCTAGAATTTATCAACCTAATAACCCGAGCGAAGCCTGGTACTTTCGCTCGTTAACACATAAAAAGATATAGGGATGGCGGAGCCAAAAAGAATACAAAGAATAATATAGGGATGATACAGCTATACATAGATCATCCGTACATAACTTTCAATATTAAAATATAACGTTACACTGTAAAATGCACGAGTAAAAAATGGTTACGAGGTCGGTCTATTCAACCGATCTCGTAGTGAGAGTCTGTAATAATCAAGACATGTTTTGACTCCACTTGGTTTTCCTTGTACGTAAGTCCCAGGCTCTTAGTTACACTACATTGATGCCTACCTTGACATGACCATGATATTATGATAAACAAACTGCATACCAACAGTCAGGAGTATATAACTTCCAACTACAGTAATATTAAAGTCAAGTATGTATTTTTCAGTGTAACATTAAATTTTAATATTGAGACTCACGTAAGGATGATCTCTGTATAGCTGTTTCATCCCTATATTATTGTTTGGATTCTTTATGGCACTGCTATCCCTACGTCATTTTACATTTACAAAATGTATTTTATTACTTGTTTTGTGACGTTTTCCCCCTGACTGAAAGTTAGTGTATTCTATGAACATGTGTAATAAAATTTTATATTATGTGTATTGTTTTTATTTTATTCCTTCACTTCATACATAATATGGGGTTGGCTCCTTAAAGACACCGATTGTATAGTGTACAAAGCATTGATTATTCTACATGTCACAGTCGTCTAATGTTCATCTATTATTGGCTGATAGTTACTGTTTCACTCTGTACTTAAGCTTTTTAAACTTTAAGAGATAATGATAAGCTCGTTTACACTAGAATTATGATTTTTTTAAATTACTACCAACTATTACGGTGAAGCGATGACATCGTGCACTGCCCAGAAACACAGAGTGGATTTAGGTTTAAACTGACGTTAGTGATAAAGTAACTGTAGAGTTATCTCGACTGAAACAAGAAGAAAGATGAACAATTTGGTGGGTTGGTCACTTTCTGGTTTGGTATCTTAACAATGGTTTCTTGCCTTGTTTTTGGGCTTGTTGGGTAAAGAAACAAATGAATGTGAGTGGCAATCATCTTTTAAAGTAAAACTCTCTGTCATTGTTGATTTTTTAGCGTTTATATGTGTAATATGTATGTTGAGTACTTTAGCCGTCCCTACATATATAGTCTATCAACTTTATGATAAACCAAAGCCTTGTAGGCACTGGTTGATGCTAGCCATTTTGTGGTATATTTAAATTAGATATTAAGCTCACAATAAGTAGCTAGCATATGAAACATCGTAAACATGTTATCAGTTGTTTTTTTTTTCTGTTAGTAATACATCTGGATTATTCTTTTATATACTAAGGGTTTGAAACATTTAATAGTACCATACAAAATTATTAATAACGCCAAGAACACTACTATGTCTGTCATATCCCAGCCGTGCTGATGGTTCCTGGTATTAAACGAAAGGCCTCGTTGGCACTGGATGTGGAAAGTGTAACATGGTTGACATATTATAACGTATTTTCCTTTGCTTTCACTGAAGGATTCTTAGAATAACTTTTGATTGGCATAATTATTGATCAGAATGTTTGAAATTTCACAAATATCGTGTTCTTGGCAGTGCGTGTACTTGTTTTCACGTATATGTAATGTAAATACAGCCTTCTCTGGGTTTGTTTTATATTTTTCCCACAATGTCATAACGCTTTTTAGAGTACATCCATCACCCATTGTCATTAACGTGGTATGGTTACAATTATTTATAGGATTAAAATAGTATCAATATTAGCATATCAGTATAGTCATAAAAAATATGCCCAAAAGATGATACAGGCGCATGTAGATTAAATGCTGGGTGTTTGTTTGTGTAATAGCAGAAGATATCATAGACACTTGTAATATCCTAAGATAAACGAGATCAGGATTAGAAAAACAGAGGATATAAACATCACATTACTCGATATTGTAGTTCATATCTTGCAAGTGGCCAGCTAACTGCAGTTCCTGGGAAGGTCCTTGGTTCATATACGTGGCTGCCCTGCGAGGCCGCTATCATTACCCCAGTACGGCCGGGCTGCGCCAGACAGGTAACGGGCTAGAGCTTGTTCCCCACCCCCTAGACTTAGTAGGCCTCAAGGGGACAGGACAATCATCCAACATAGTAAGAAGTTAGAAGAGCGTCGACCACCGTGCAGCTCAGATGTACTATTGCTAGCGTTCTTTGTCTACAAGTAGAGCGCGTGTAGAAGTGGGTTCCTCTTTCGATAAGAACATTTTGTGGGCCCGTGAGGTAATCAGGGCACCACTATGGCCAAAGTGTCCAACAACAGAAACGACAGCTCAGCATCAACCACTGCTTTGTTATTATGGGCTATTCAGGATTTATCGAACAATAACAATCATTCCCCTGCAACTTATCATCAAATATGGAGTAGGCTACGTCGGCGCAAAGGTATTGTGTGCTTAATATTATATTGACAAGTGCTTTGTGTGTATATACGAATCTTCAGAAAATCTTAGGATTACTTCTTACCATAATTTATAAAATGTCTTGTGATTCAGCGTTTCTAACTGTAAGAACTGCAGTATTTAGTATAACACACATACATATATGTGGTCTCATTGCTGTATAATATTTGAATATTTGTCAAAACACATATTTTTAAACTTCCAAAGTTTATGTGACTTACTAACAACCGAACATGACAACGTGTATAACGTTAATTAAAAAGTGTCAGGAAGTAATTATAGAAAAGTAAATAGCTTATTATTTGAAAAAGATACTTCCCTGCATCTTTAGTACTTTCGGGAATCTTTATTTTGATTATTTTGACTATTAACATGGCTGGGAATCATAACCCTCCTATGTATATCCTCAGAGGTCTGCTTACTCCCATTGCTACGTATATGACTTATTATGTAAGAAAAACTCATCATAATAAGACAACGATAGGTGATTTCATTTGTTCGTTGATAAGCGCAAAGCTACACAATGGGCTACCTGTGCTGTGCCCACCTCGCGTATCTAAACCCGGTTTTTAACGTGATAAGCCCTCAGCCTTAGTTATATGTATATATAATTGTGTATAGGCTATCTTATATAATTTACCCGTTCAACAACCACAACAACAAAACACGTATAAGTTCTGCGCGTGTATGCGCATTAAGGAAACGTATTTGTAAAACACTCTTTGCGCATGTGTTTCAAAGCTTGTATAGAATCTATTGCGAACCTCTGTGTAATTAACTTTCGCTACACTTGCCATTGGGAGGAAGAGTCCTAACGTTTTTTCGCCTTCGATTCCCCCCGGTATTGATAAGAATATACACTGCAGCTATATTAGCGCCACTGAGTTGTAACAATGTAATTGTTACTCCGCAGATAGAATTCTAAAATAAAGTAATGGCAACAATCAGGTCTGCATTCGATAGACTTTTACTTTTTCATTTTCTAGAAATTCGCAACACATTCTTCTTAGAACACTCTTTATTTTTCCCAAATGGTGTATTAACAAGTAGATAATATATTAACTTTTGCTCACATAAAATTTATTGACTTTGTCATCGTAGTATGCAAATATTCACGAGACCACTAGGAGTCAATTAAGGTGTTATACGTATATATTTCTCAAAAGTAAAGCAGAAAATAAGATGATTTTCTCTGAGGACCTCAACAGTAAGATTAACGGTCTTAAGGTTCCCAAATGTTTAACCAATTAATAACTCTTCCAACGCCCTCATTCTCCAACAATTCTCATTTACCTACGTGACCCCTAACATAACGCTTAAGGCTGCAAGGGAATGTCTTAAAACATTCCCATGATGATTCAAATGAATAATATTTTTTCCAGCTTTTTTACACAATTTAATGGGTATTTGCAAGTTTCTATGAATCAAAAAATGAAAACTCACAAATTAACAAATTCTATACCCAAGATGCCCTGAAGGTCGCTGGAAAGTTGTATGAGTTAAAATGAGTCGTTATCATAGTAGTTGTGTTGGTAAGACCAATAAGAGTAGAATTTTATGTAGGATATTAGCGAACATTCCAAAAACACCATACAAACTTTACTAATTGCAAAGACATATTATATAATAAAGCATTATTTGACAAAGGTGTGTGTGAATTAGTTTCCATAACATCAAAATAGAAATCTTAACTTTCTGGTAAATAGCACGATGGTACAATAAAATTAACCATATTTATAAATATATTCTGCTGTAGAAAATTGTTAAACAACTAAAAATTCTATATTTATGAACATCACATACGTACTGTGCAACTGATTGCGTCTGTTGTAGAAGATTGTTGAACAGCTAAAAGTTCTATATTTATGAACATCACATACGTACTGTGCAACTGATTGCGTCTGTTGTAGAAGATTGTTGAACAGCTAAAAGTTCTATATTTATGAACATCACATACGTACTGTGCAACTGATTGCGGAAGCAGTTTAACACACTTGAATGTGGAATGAAATGGCCGCGGGTTGGTTGGGGGGGGGAGCAAAAATTTGGAAGGGATAAAAAGCATGCTCTCCAAGTAAGTATTCGCTCGACAACATATGTTTTACCCTGTTTTTCATCGAAATTATCAAAAGTGGGTTTGATGGCTATTGGGGAGTGGGGGCAACTACCACTCTCCGCGGGCGTCACTGGTGGAATTAGAGGTAATTTTTTATAGGTATTTATTTCTATGTTTAATATGAGGGAAGAAACTGAACCCGACGATTTCTTGCACCTGTACTATCCTGCTGTGTGTTATGTACTTATTATTTTTCTTTGACCAAGGTACATTTGGTACAAGGTACAAATGATTTCAGGGTTTTATTATACACATTTGTATACACTTTCTGAGAGATCTAATTACTTCTTTTACGAAACGTAAGAAGTACGACCTTGAAACTTGTGGTGTTGCTCTATACTTGTAATTTTTTTTCGTCGTTGATATCGTATTTTCCTTCCCACAAGTATCGTGTATTTGAAGAGAGAGAGAGGTTAGTATTTACATTTGCTGGTCGATTTGTACTGAGGTTGTACATTTTTTAACTTTACGAATTTTTTCAAAGATTAATTTGTGCTTGATAAGTTAACATACCGTGTTCTTTTTCTTTTTTTTGTGATTTGTTTGCTGTTCTTTAAGATGTAAAACTTGGTAAGGAAGCTAAGCATTTAACAAAATAAGTATCAAGTAAATCAGCGTTGAGACTTGAAATATAAAATAAATAAACAAACTTCAAATTCAGAAGTTGAAGATAATAAATTAATGAACGTTTTGGTACTTTAACTAATGGTCTTGATGTACTTGTAAATTGAAACGTTTGTGTAAAGCTTGCATGTTATATTTACGTGTCAGTAACTTTGGTTTCTCGAAGGTTGTTTGTTGTTGATTAAGCACAAAGCTACACAATGGGATGTATGTGCTCTGCCCACCAAAGGTATCAAAACCTATTTTTTAGCGTTATAAATCTCTAGACTTAACGGTGAAGGCCGGCATGGCCAGGTGGTTAGGGCGCTCGACTCGCAATCTGAGGGTCGCGGGTTCGAATCCCCGTCACACCAAACATGCTCGCCCTTTCAGCCGTGGGGGCGTTATAATGTGTCGGTCAATCCCACTATTCGTTGGTAAAAGAGTAGCCCAAGAGTTGACGGTGGGTGCCTTCCCTCTAGTCTTACACTGCTAAATTAGGAACGGCTAACGCAGATAGCCCTCGTGTAGCTTTGCGCAAAATTCAAAACAAACAAAACTTAACGTGAGACAGCAGTGGGCTTCTTTATGGTAGAGTAAGCTTATTATCATGCGATTTTGATTATTCTATCAACGAATTGAAAGAGTCGTGTCTGGTGAAACATTCTAAATTTTTTGCAGCCTTGATATAATAAAAAAGACGTATAGTATGTCCATAGTCGTCTTATTTTGTTCTGCATAATGGGAAGAGATCAGGTCTTTAAAACTATTAACCTTTATATTGTAAAGTTTTTGACAAATCCCCTCAATAGAAGATCTCGAAGTTTAAGGGTGCTTTGCGTGTCTGTCCTTTTTTTAACTGAAGCTGGGCCCGGCATGGCCAGGTGGTTAGGGCACTAGACTCGCAATCTGAGGGTCGTGGGTTCGAATCCCCGTCCCACCAAACATGCTCGCCCTTTCAGCCGTAGTGGGCGTTACAATGTGACGGTCAATCTCACTATTCGTTCTTAAAAGAGTAGCCCAAGAGTTGGCGGTGGGTGGTAATGACTAGCTGCCTT